ACTAAACAGTGGACTAATAAATTGCAATTGGTTGGCATGATAAAAAAATTAAAAAATGATGTGTTTTCAACTTTTTTATCTCAGCCTATAGCAAAAATTTAAAAAATGCATTTTGTAGTTGACGCATAGTCAAGCTACAGACACTGAAAGATTTAAAATTATTTATCTTTGCTTGTAATTCATGAAAAACTATGATTTTCGCGATTTTTAATTGCTTACAGCTCATGTCAAGGTCAACCAATTTCAATAAAATTTTCAGCATGTATATAAGATCTCCAAAATGCATTTTTGAAATTTTTGTTATAGGCTTAGATAAAAAAGTTGAGAAAACATCATTTTTCTTTTTCTTTCATTGCATTTCTTTTTCTTTCCATTGTATTACATTATTGTATAATGATATAAATTTTACTAAATGTCATTATAGAGATTGTATAAATAAAATGGATTTTAAAAAATATTATAGAATTTATTATCCTATAATATTTATTGTAAGCATTTATTAACAATGTTAGGTATTAGCTATTTGAGAAAAGTTCATTTAATCGTTTTGTGATTGAATATAATGGCATGCCCATTACAGTATAAAAATCACCATCAATTTTTTCAATAAGACATCCACCAAGACCTTGCGCACCATATCCTCCAGCTTTATCGCTATACATGAAAATTATTATACATCACAAGGTAATCATTTCTTTCAAAAAGTAATATAATTTATACTTACAAAGGTTCTCCTGAGTTTATATATGCTTCTATTTGTTCTGCTGATATATCACCAAACTTTACTTTTGTAGATTCATAAAAGTTTATTTCTTTCTTCTGTGTTCTTAAACATACTCCTGAATAAACTACATGTTCTCTATTCGCTAGACTAAGGTACAATGGAATTTTTAGTTTTATTAATATAATTATAGTAATCAATTACACTTGAATTATTTATTTTACCTTGACAACATTTCAAATGCTTGTGACTTATTTTTTGGTTTCCCATAAATAATATTATCCATCGCAACCATAGTGTCTGCACCAATTATCAAAACAGGTGATTTAGAATCTTCTTTTAATCTGTTATATACTTCTAATACTTTATACTTTGCTATATCTTCAACATACTTTCCATAATTTGTGTATGTAGATTTATCTAGATTCTCATCATATAACGAAGGTACTACCTCTGTATTTTTTAAACCCTAATATTGAATTAAAAATCTGTTTTTATTATCTGTTTTACCTATTCGAGTATGTATTCTAAATATTTTGATTTCAAGTGTAGACTAATCATAAACTTAATATAAAATAAGATATTACAATAGTAAGTTATACATTATCATTTCAGCAAAAGTATACTTTTAATTAAATTTCATAGGTTAACACACTGTTACTATGTTGCGGCTTAAGTTTTCAGTATAATAATAATAATAAAAACATACAATGTTATAAAAAGAATTACCAATTGTTTTATTATTTCATGTCTTCTGGGAGAACTACTGGCTAAAATTACTCTACCAGTAGCTAAAGCT